TCCAAATATGCAAGAGCATTCTTGGAAGCCTGGTATTCAGACAAGGCAGCAATTAACAGACACATAGAGATTAACAGCATCTACATACTATTCAAAAGGGACAAAAGACCAGAAGATCGCCTCACCAGCAATCATCACCAGCAATCATCACCCAGATAAGCAAAGCTCACCACCAGGCACACAATCAAGCAGTCAACAGATGCCAATCAAGGAACTACCAGAGGAGCAAAACAAAACCCCCCTTCCTGGCCAGCCCTGGAAAGACAGGCCACAGCACGTAAATAGAGAGCAAACCCCATCCCATTTTAGCACTGAAGATGTTACCTAGCCGGGTAATGAAACGTTTGCAAGAAAAGAACCAAGCTCAAAGAACCCTAAGGACTCCACAATTTGATTTCCTTCTCACAGTATACATAAAGTAACTGTAGAGAAAAAGACTTAAACATCATGTTATCTGTAAGCAAATCCAATACGCAACATTTTTCCAGTCCAGATGTCAGTAAATCCAAAAAGAACCACCCAAAATAACAAAATGTCCCATTTTAACCCTGATCAAATAAACCGACTTTGTGTTCCTTCTTTTTACGTAAAACAATCTTGCTCTTTAATGCATTCAAATGATTGTTGATCCTTGTTTCAAAGTTCTTCAATATTGTAAACAGCCTCTTTTGTAAGTCCAGCTAAAAGAAATTATTCCAATTGCTCTCTGGAATTGTCATTTTTATTTCCTTCTTAATTTTTAAAGCCTCACCCAATTTTTTTTAATGTCTAATGACAAGTTCTTGTTCAAATTCTTGTTCATGTTTTTCTCAGGTAGACTTTGTCACATATCTTTTTCTGTAGCATCTTCTTCTAGGAACAGACTATTCCCAAGAAGAAACAACACAGCTGACATTATTGATTCAAAGTTCCTCAAAAATGTCTCTGAATGCCATTTTAAGTTGCTTGTCTTATGACTCCAATATCAAAAACAATTTTTCTTTCTCACGAAAATGCATTTATTCTTTAAAATTTCAAAGTCTTAATATTCAAAATCCAACATTCCAATGTTTTCTAAGCCCTTAATCGGTTTAAAACTTTCTATAGTCAAAATTTTGTCTTGCTTTTTGCTGTTTATTTTAAATTCTTAAAAGTTATAAAGATACATCTTCATTGTCTTATATTAAGGATTGAAGGCACTCACCCTGTGTTTCCAGCCTTGTTATTTTCAAGGTGTCTAAATTCTTTAAAGCAATTAACAGGCAATTGCCAAAAGTGATTAGCAAGGGAAGTGCAAACTTTGTGTCCTTTAAAAGGTTCTGTTTGCAGCTGGAGCAAGTATGGCAAATTCCCTCGGCTCCAGGTCCTCATACCCTCCAGAGACTGCTGCTTTGCAGTCTCCTCGTGAGGAGTAACCATATGGAGCACGGGTTGGGTGATCTCACATCCTCTCTTTGTCCATGGAGGGTTGAAGGAGATAATTTACTCATCAGCTCCCTGTTCTTAGCCGCAAACATCAGCTCCACTTTTCGCTGAGCTATCTTCAGTCCGCCATTCTTCCCCGGAAGAGACATTTTAGAATGATTGAAGAAAAGATGAAGGTAAAGCTTTTCCCCATGCGAAAATAAGAAAAATTGAATTAACTGCTTCAGTTTTTATGAGGCAGATAGATTCCCTGCACCTGCCAGTACAGATTAAGCTTTAACAATCTCTCAGCAGGCTGTTATTGTGAGAACACACTTATTGAAGGAAGATTGAGGACCATTCACAGTAAGACTGCTGGTGGTGTTTTTCACAACAAAGAAAAGGGTGGTAGCCATATTGATACATAACAGTTTGCTTTACTCTGCAATGCAAACAGTAAGAGATCTATTTCATTGTAGTGATACTGCATCTTCTAAAAAATAATGGTCACTATTTTATTGCAGTGGCTGTATCTTCTGAAAAGAAAAATGTTCTGGTTAAAATTGATAGTCCTAATGATAGATACTCCTATAATATTGTACAACTATTTAAACCATCTCACTCTGATTCCTTACATTTTTTCAATAGTCAGTGGGGAGGTTTATGAAATCTTTGATCCAATTTTAGGCAGAGATTCTTCCCCTAAGAAGTGGAAATCTTTGATTCAGTTAACACTGAAGGCTGTATGAGCTCTGCTAAACAGAACTCACAAATCACTGCAAATGGCCTGCTGAGAGGTTTAGCTGTACAATAGTTATCCACAGTATAGTATTGCATATACAGGTAGTCCTCGCTTAACTATGAATGTTTAGCAATCATTCAAAGTTATAACAGTGCTGAAAATGTAACTTTATGACTAGTCCTCGCATTTACGACAATTGCAGCATCTCCACGGTCAAGTGATCGAGATTTGGGCACTTCGCAACCAGCAGGTATTTACAACCATCACAGCATCCTGCAGTGACATGATCACTATTTCCGCACTTTCCAGCCAGCTTCCGACAAGCGGAGTCAATGGAGAAGCTGGCAGTAAAATTGCAAGTCACAGTCATGTGATGTCTCACTTAATAACCATGGGTGACTGGATTAACGACTACAACAGAAGTGAGGTCATAAATCCATCATGGTCATGTGATGTCTTGCTTAACTACCATGTCGCTTAGCAACAGAATTGCCGGTGCCAATTGTGGTCATTAAGCAAGGACTACCTGTACAATAATCTACCTAGGAGAGCTGTCAGAAGCAAAGCCAGTAATTAAGCACAAGGAAAGTTCTACTATGCATTGAGGCTCTGTGGCAACCCAGGAGCACAGGAAACAGTAGAATAGATTCAACATATCCTACAGACTACTATTCCAGAGTCAGGGAAGAAACTGAAGCTGAAAAGAGATTAGATACTCTAGCAAGACAACCATTTGATTCATACCTTTAAATCAACCATGTATTATATATAAGAAAAAAAGGTAATAGTTTTGGAATGGCCTTCACTGACCCCAGACTTGAATACTACTGAAAAATCTGTCGGGAGATCTCAAACATGAAATTGCACGCAAGGGGATGTAAGAATATTTCTGAGCTAGAAGAGTTTGGCAAGCAAGAATGGGGGAGAAAGCATTCAAAAGCAAGAATAGAAAGACTCTTAACTGACTAGAGGAAACATTTAAAAGTTGTCTTTTCTAGCAAAGGATGCCTCCCAACTATTACAAAGTAATGATTAAAAGCATTAAAATGTCCAAATGTCTTTGCTTGTATTCACCCTTTCTCATTTTGAAGCTGTAACAACTGCATTCAAATTTGCAGAACGATGTCATGTTTAACTTTGTACCATGCAGAGGATGTACAATCTTCTGCTCACTTAAGGATTTATTGAAACATCCCATTTGACCCGAGATACCTGTTTTTGCATGCAACTGTTATATCTTCCCTTCATAAATATATGCATAGCATCCACATTTCTGACTTTTTTCTACCATGATCCATATCCAAATAACGTAACATTTTTAAAGTGAACTGGAGTAATTATAAAATTGGCTTACAGAGATTAATTGTATAAAAGGTCAATTATCTCTGTCCTGCTGCACAAAGGTATGTAATTATATAATCGGATATATATGTATACGGCTACAAATCATTCAAACAGGATAAATAAATATGTCTTACTGACCCATTGCTCAACAAGACCTGGAGCCAAGATAAGAAGGGTCAAAGCTGCCATCCTTATCAAACCATAGATAAATACAGTTCCATTTAATTCTCTTAAGTCATGACTGATTTATAAACTTCTACATTATTTAACTCTGGCCAAAGCTCTCTTTTCACTTTAGGCTCTTCATCCCATTTCAGCATTCCATCTATCTCTGTCTCTTCCTATGAGTCTCAACTGTTGACCTCCCTTGAAGGGTTGGCAAAAGAGGTTCATCTTTACAGATTTTTCTAATTACTCATCTTGCTTTCTCCTTTTTAATCAGCCACTTCCCAAAGATGTAAAAACTGAGACAGGAAGAAGAACAGAGTAGACTTGAATCTAGAACTAGTGCACTGCATCTGTGTAATGAGATGAATCCACCACAGAACTTCACATCAAACATTTTCAAACTTTGTTGCATGTGACAAATTTTGTCAACCAGGGACAAACAAAGCAGCTGTTCTAATTTCCTCAGGTGATAAACCTAAAGTACTCATCTGCTTGGCAGTACCTATTAACTGTTTTCCAGCTGTGAACACAGACTGAAGGAGGAAAACTGTGCAGGTTCGTTTGGAAGCACCTCCTCAGTCCCCAGCCGGAGTGTGGGAAAGCCAAGAGAATGAGACTGGCCCC